GGAGGAGTTGTGGCTCAGTTTGTGCTTTCCCTTGTAAAACTAAAAGTTCTTTGAAGGATTGCTTCTTTAAAGCAACACCCTACCCATTTTATTTCTCTTAGATTTTTGAAGTTTCTTTTAGTAGTTTCTGAATTTTATCGTTGTCCAGGAACCTAAAAAGAAGAAGGCCAAATTGGACCAACCATCACCTCAGAAGAAAGTGGAAAAGAAGAAACCAGAAAAGAAAAAGGACGCTTCCAAATCGCCCAAGAAGACTCCATCAAAGAAATCGCCCGTCAAGAAGTCCACTCCCAAGAAAGCCACGGCCCAAAAGAAGGCGTCGATACAGATCACGCCGAAGTCCAAGCCCAAGTCCACCTCCAAATCCACGCCCAAGTCCACGCCCAAGTCCGCGCCCAAGTCTACGCCAAAGTCCGCGCCCAAGTCCACGCCCAAGAGTAAAGCAAAGAAGATGAGTAAGTTTACCTGACTGAAGAGAATTTCAAATCATCCTGTGAAAACTAAAAACTCTTTACAGATTTTCTGCCAAGTTGTATACAGTCTACACCAATCGAAATTCTTTCACTGCTCTCTCTGAAATGATGTTAATCATGTGATTAGTCTTTTGAGGGAGGTTCCAGCAAAAGACAATGGATTCAAGTTTGCACCTGCAGCTTCTAGAAAATACAAAGAATGCTCCACCAACTCATCTCTTCTGCCCCATATTTGATGCAAATTGTTACTGTGCCAAGTGATAACCAAGGGCCCCTTGTGATTGACTTGGGAGATATGATCTCCAGCAATTATCTTTTGACTCTGATTGAAGAAATTCTCTTTTGTTGATTAGAATGTTCCAGGTGCTCATAAAATGTTTTGTTAGCGTGTAGTGTGTTATATTTGTAGAACTGGTAAGATTTCCTTTTTCTTGCATTTCAGCGATAGAAGACTCAGATGATAGTTCTGATGACGAACCACTGATCAGAAAAGCAGAGCCGTCGGTGAGTCACACCACACCTGTTACCACCTACACCACCCCAAAACCACCCAGCACTCTATCATTAGGTTCCTAGGGGAATATGTACAATGTTATACAATGCAGTGACGTGCCAACAGGTTGCACAGGGCCCTGCGCTTGCATTGCATGTCAACAGATGGAGTTCATGTCATTGGTTGTCAAATTTCATCTTCCCTTCAGGAGGCTCAGATTGAGCAGACTGTCAGGGCGTTTTTGGACAAGGCCAACCTGGAGTTGGTTACCATGAAGATGGTTTGCAAGAAGGTGTACGAGACCTACCCAGACTTCAACTTGGCGCACAAGAAGGACTTCATCAAGGCGACAGTCAGATCGGTGAGTTGCGGTGACATGACAGAGCGCTACAGAGTGACCCAATTCCATCTCCGCAACCCTCTCCCTTCTAGCGTAACTGGAACCAAAACTCCAGCCCCTAACCCAATAACTCAACCCCAAAATCCACTCCCCCCCCAAAAAAAAAATAAAAACTGCAGTCCATCAATAAAGCCCTCTGTAATTTTCCATCAGATTTCCAGAAATATGCCAAATAGTTGTACTTTTCAAAATTTTGTTTAATTAATATCCTTTTGGTAATCCACATTTTTCTTTCCTTTTTTTTCACCAGATAATTTCATGATAGGATATTTTGCAGCTTGGCCACTGATGACGTGACACTGTGTTCATTTCAGCCAATCTGGCTGGGAGGACAGATTCGGCTTCTCCAAACTCAACTTGTTGATTAAAAACTTGATGGGAACAAAAAGACAATATGAATTACAAGTATATCAGTGATGGATTCAGGAATAACATTTTGGCCAGTCGGGTGCTTGACAGAAGTCCTCGCTTCAAGACAGTACTTCCACAATTAAATTTGACGAAGGGCTAAATGATTTGCCCACAATTCTTTTCCAGTTTGCTACTGTTATGACAGAGCATGATCTGCAAAGTTTCACCTCTGGCAATCCTGGCATTTTGTCGAATATTAATTTCTCCTGACCTTTCCGTCATCACAGTGATTCGTGTCCTGATGTGTAAACGCAAAGTGGTCTATATCTTCCTGAGGTTTACCTTGGCTCTATAATTTGTGGCTTCGTTTACAGACAGTAATCGTGTACATAACATCACTTCAAAAAGGCAAAGCCTCACATTTTTATTGGCCGTTCAGAATTTCACCTGTTTGTATCTGATTGACTCTTTTCCCCCAGTGTCCAATTTGCTGTAATGAGTGTTTTTTAAATTCATCGCCTTTCGTCCCTGCAGCCCAGGTTGGTGTCTTACCTGGGCCGACCTGCGGATTTTATTTCCCCTTCCTACCCGACTGCATTGGATATTCCTGTGAATATTCATCTCTGGATTCCCATCCCTTTTTCCCTCGTCATGTTGTTGGCATTGTAATGTGTTCCTCGACGTTCAAACAACATTGCACGATGATTGATGCCTGAAATAGTTAGTCACCCAAGGAATTGTTTTTTAGATTTAAATGATCACTATCTTTTATACTTGTACATACTCAAAATGGTAACCTTTTAGTTTGATTTGCGATTTTTTTTAATCGGGAATCTTCCCTCGGAGGGGTGTAGAGACCAGCTGATACGCTTAAAATTTGACTTATGTGGACAAAGTAGATGTTACATGTTGTTTTACCGATATTTGATCATGGATGTGAATGTTGGAGGCGTTACTTTTTGAAATGCAGAGCCGTAGACAGATTCATTCTAAATTGCTGGGCGACAGACAATTTTTAGCAACCGAGAAATGTTGGTAATCATTTCAAGTTAAATTGGCAGCACTTACTTGGAGATTTTATCAGTGGTGTCGTGGTGTAGTAAAAGTTGACGAAACTAGGAAAATTTTGGGTGGCCATGTTTCTGCCCCAAGGATTCTTTGACCATGTCATCTCAGATTCTGTGTACCATTTTGTAGATAAACACTAAGAACACATCAGTTTATTTCTGGCAAGTTTATTCTTTTCATTAATTTTTGATGTCATATTAACCAAGTCGTATGTTTTGTTGGCATTTAGTATGTTTTGTATGCCGTCTTAAAGTTGAGTGAATTAATTAAATCCTGACTTAATTTCCTGTATGAAGGTTTGGATGATTCCAGATCTGTTAGCCGAGTGATAATTTTCTTAGAGGTAAAACGGTGTTGTCAAGGACATTCTTTTTATGCTGAGTGGACAGGCGTATCTTTAGTTAATCATGTTAAACAATTCTGTACATGTCCCACAAATGAATTTTTTTTCCTTTTGCGGAGGTGAGATTTTTCAGCTTTTGGGCTGTTTTCAGCTTTTTTTGTTTTGGATTTCAGCTTTTCCCCTCACTGGCTGTGTACAAAAGTTTTGATTTTCACAGTTCAGCTTCTTTATGCCTTTTTCAGCTGTTTTCAGCAATCTTTATCGTTGGGCAATCGCCCCCCTGTTTTTGGTTGAAAATCATATTGGGGGTAAATTCAGTCACAAGAGGATTCATAACTATGGTTTTGTGCGTCCATTTAGTCCAAAATACGGTTGTTTTACAACAGTTTATCAGAATTTATTCAAATATGAGCCTCGTGCAAGAGCCTTTATTGTCCATGTTAAAAAGCGTCTAAAACACTAGCATCATATCTAACAAAGGAGCTACGTATCCGGCACGGTTTATTTACGACAAGCAAAAGGCCTTATTGATGGCGCCCTCGCTTCTGTGCGGCGGGCCAGACACGCCAACGTCGCACCGTGTCGTTGGATTTCTACGCGCTAGCTCATTATTTGGTTATCCTACGGGGTTTTTACAATAAAACATGCCATAATCAGGAGGGATCATAGAAATATTTCTATGAATCCCGAATTTGGGACTGATAGTTTCTAGTTCGGGGTATTTCTTTCACAAAAAGCCCCCCAAAAGTGGGCCTATTTTGGACGGAGGCGGGCGGTTACATTCAGAGCTGAGCGCATAGTTTTACAACTATTTTCGGGGTGTCTCCGGGGAAAGGCAAATAAAAAAAAATTCGTAGCTAACCCCTAAAAAAACTGAAACGAAAAGTGATCTTCTGGCCATGATCTTGAATTTCCAATGAAAAAACAGAGGCCACCCTCTTCTCGAGAGTCGACAGGCGGCGCTCTTTCGGTCTGATTTTGCACTGTTTTCTATGGGCGCGTATTTGGTGTAGTGCAAATTACTGTGAGTGCAACCCCAGCGCTGCTAGCGCATCGTGTTCATACGTGTTTGAATGACAAATATCGGATCTTCCAACCGTAGCATCCATACTCGTGCAAAATTCATGTTGTTAAGCAAAGTAACACGATCCGAAAAATTCGTCATATACATTGTACGTGCACGACATATGTTGCGATAGAGCATGGAGGTCTGGTGTGAACTTCCGTCTCAGTCATAGGGGCCTACATGTCGTGAATTGGATCGAGCTGAGGAGTCGGAATTCAGGCGAGAATATTCAGCAACGTTTTCTTTTGTCAGGTAACCAAGTACGTTGATCTCTTGCAATTGCACGAAATCATTGAATATTTACAACAAATATCCGCCCAGTTTCCGGACATTTGTTACTCATCCTGCAAATGCTCGCTCATGATATGTCGTGTTCTTATTTCTCCATGATTAACGTTATTGTTATTGTGTGCTACCTCCGTGGTAATTGTCATGATTGCTTTCATGATAAAAATGCTAGGCCTACTATTGCTAGTGCTACTGTTCCTGCATGACGCTTGAAGGACGAGACAAGCATGACAGGAAAGCTAGAGCAGTTTTAAATCACACATTGTTTTGTCACTTTAAATACTGGTTTTAGCCTACAAATTAGGCTTCAGCCAGATAGCATGATCATGTTGATAGGGCCTAGATCTTGTGACCATGTACTTTTTATCCAAACATAGGGGCCTAGGCCTGAAACGTCTGTGACTGTATTAATTATATTTTGCCTCCCATCGTCAAGTCTGAATTGGTTTTTACAGTAAGTGGCAAAATAAGGGACGTGGGGCAAGTGTACCCCCCAGAACTGTGAGGTCCAACATCCGCCCTGCGGGGTGGACGTCGGACCCCACTTCTGGGGATAGGGCAAGTGGGGATCGGAGTATGTTCCCCAATTCACTGAACGTGTAGGCCTAGGGCCTTAGGCCTCGGGCCTAACAATTTGCAGATTTATAACATACATATACATGTACACGGTAACATAATGAACAAGAACAGATTTTCATACCTCAGCATATATGGTGTCATAGGACTTGACATGCTTGAGGGATTTTGAACAATTAAAGCACAGTATTGGAATGAAAAAAGGTTTGATATTTGATCCTTTTCTGTTCCGGCAATTTTTTTTAGCCATTGTGTAAAATCATCAAAGCAGTATTTGCAATACATGTTACATTTGTCATGTTATATCCTGATACGCCTGATGCTACTCCCTTGATTGTGTCGTAAACTCTAGAATTCAATTAGCATTTCAATTTTCTTCCTTTACAAGGTTTTTGAAAAAATTAATTGGCTGTGCATTGGCGCGGTTTGTTGACAGTAACAACGCCAGCAGCACTGTCATGGCTGACCGGAAAGACGGTGAAGATGATAAAATCTACGGGGGATGTGAAGGACCAGACGCCCTGTATGTCAAGCTGGTGTCATCCGACGGCCATGAGTTCTACGTGAAACGAGACCTCGCCTTAACATCAGGGACAATAAAGGCCATGCTGAGTGGACCAGGTGGCTAACTGATGCTCCTACCCTAAAATAATGAATGCTTTTTAACAAAACTGAGCTCAAGATTTGTTGGGAGTGCAAATGTCTCTTCCAAAAACAACGAACCTTTTGGTTCTGTGCACAGAACATGGCGCCCCCTGTAGACTTACAAGAGTCCCAGACATTTCTAATTTTGTCAGTTATGTGCATAATATCTTTGCATAGATGTTTGATGCTTACAGTACACTGCTGATGGCTGAGAAGCATTTACGTGTTTGTCAGAACTGTTATTTTAACAGATTTTGATAAGTGTTCTGGAGTTATCACCGGCCCTTGTTCTCTTGCCTTCCCAGGTACATTCGCTGAAAATGAAGCCAACGAAGTCTGCTTCAGGGAAATCCCGTAAGTTCCTCACCTGACAATTTTCCATTGGCAGTATAATACAATATCATCTGAACAGAAAGCTCTGAACGTCTCTTAACCTTATCAAACCTCTCAGAATGCACTGCCACAAAGACTTCAAATTCCCTGTTTGTACCCTCCAGTTCACACGTACTGTGCAAAGTCTGCATGTACTTCACCTACAAGGTGCGCTACACAAACAGTTCCACGGAGATTCCCGAGTTTCCTATCGCACCGGAAATTGCCCTGGAGCTTCTGATGGCAGCCAATTTCCTGGACTGCTGATGGGAAAAGCTTCAGGACATTCATCGCTTCTCTCTCCGATATTGTCGGAGCAGTTAACGCCCCAGTTAGTTATGGCCAATAATCAACCCATTTCTCCCGCCGGGCAAATTTTATGGTTATTGATAAAGGGGGAAAAAAAGCAGTGTTTAAGAAGACCTCTGTTGTTTGCAGATTACACATTAACAATGTTCTTATTTTAGTATTACAATGAAATGTTTTGACTTCACAAAATCAGACCAAGTTTTCTGTAACCCTTGGAGGTCTTTTGCATGTATTTGCCTCCCATATGTAACACGTACCACTGTAGTAATGTATTTAAATAGAGAAGCCCGTGTTATTTCTTTACTGGCCTGGGTATTTTGTAATTAATTCCTCCAAGTGACAGCCTTTCCTGATGTGCTTCTTCTCTATCTTACCAGCTCTTGTGAATTGTAGCATATTCATGCTATAGTGTAATTTGACCACCAGAATTAGAAGCCATTACTGCGGTGGCACAATGCTCATGGACTGGTGGTACGCGCGCGTTACATGCCTCTTCGACCAACAGGGTGTCGTGATTTGCCAAATGCGCGTCAAGCTGAAGAATGTGCGTGTGAGTGCGGCGCCACCGCAGTTAGGGTGTATAATCAGATTAGTCTATAACAATAGTCCCAAAAAAAATTACAATACAATTTTAAAGGTTGAAATTTGTAAGGTATAAAGGATGTCCCGGTTTTTTCTCCCAATATCCATACTGGAGCATAATGTCGACAAAACTATGGCAGCATTTCCTTTGCTTTTGTTATGCTTGTTTTCCCGATATTGTTTTCTGTTTTGTTTATTAATTTGAACCTGTGTACAGCTTATTGTGATGGTAAACATAATTATTATAATGTCCAGTTTATATTGTTTTTAATATGACCCCTGCAATTTTCTTCAAACTACACGTCCCAGAGAATATCAATCCGTCAACCTGACTGAAACACCAGGACGTTCAGAATCTCACATGAAAAAATAAAAGAGAATCACTTCTGTGACTAGAGTTGACTGCTACTTTGGATAAATGTACACTAATGTGTCACCTCTTCAATTACCAGACATGTTGGAAGCAAAATAAAGTTTTAATCTGTTCAATTAGTTTTCCTGTGCCTATATTTCACTGCGAACCAGCTTTGTGACCACTAAGTCTGTTTTTAATGTTAAACCTTTAAATTACACAAGATACATTGTACCGCACATTATTTTATAAAGTCTTTATCCATGTTGTAGTCAAGTCTATCACAAGTTGCCAACCAAGTCACAAGCAATTTCAAATAAACTATGACAAAGCATTCCTTTGTCGGAGTTGATCCTTTGACTGTTGTTTGAGAAGACTTGTGATGGACTTGACTATAATACTGTTCATGCCTGGAAATACAGATTTCTTGAAAAAGAAAACAAGCGGTTGTGATTTCTTTGATATGCAAATAAAATGTTGTAGTAAAGTGTGACTTCGGTTAGAAAAAAAAAAGAATTGAGATTGTCAGACTTGTTACTTTCTCACGTCCATGATCGACAATGGGAAAATGGAACCTAGAGAAAAATGCCTCAATGAAACATAAATTAACACTGTACAAATATGATTTCCTTTATTACATTTCTATTGAGACTCATCTTTTGTGTTCCGGACGTCCATCCTAACCTCAAAAACAGCAAATCCTACCGGAAGTCAAGTCTCTTCAATTACAGATAAATATCACGAAGAAACGAAAGTGGCTCTGCGCACTGATATGGAAGCAGCCTCAATGTTTGCTTCTATGAAGGAGTTTTCAGGGAAGTTTCTGGTCTGTTTCTTCATGAGCTACACTACAAGGAAAGATTCCAAATAAGTGTGTTCTGTGCCTCACTACAACCCACAACACACCTCTGTCAATCAAATCAATGCATCCTCTCTTGAGTTTTTTGGCAAACCTGCTGGTCACCTGCTCGTCACTTGTATTTTCTCAGTGTGGCAAGATATATCTCCTTCAAAATGTAATGCAGATTTCCTACACAAACTTTCATATTTACATATCCCTGTCTATAACTTAACCGCAAAGCCCACTAATAAGCATGTTACAGCAGCAGAGCTCGATGTCACATAGATGGACGTGGCAGGGGAGGGCTGGAAGATCGAACGGCAAAAGGAAAATAAGCAAAACAAAATTATCAAGAATGAAATCACCAATTTGCCTGAAAAGGGACTCACAGTTGGCCCCCTTTCCACTGTCAATGGTTTATCAGTTGATTGCTGATTGCCTCCCCCCCCCCGAAATTCCCCCTTGAAAAAAGTGCTTTGCCCTATCCTGCCCTCCCCCTGGGGAAAAATCAGCACCCATAGTCACAAATGTTTAACTTGTAAGTGAAGTCAACTTGCAAACAATGACATTTCATGCAGTCTCTTATCAGGTGGATAATTGTGTCTTAAAGTGGAACCACAGAATGTTTAAGCCTCAGGTTACATCGGCTACACTGTCGTCCTTCAGTGAGATGGCATTCTAGCACCAGCTCTTGCTAACGAGTCTGCGGCTTCATTACCCTTGATGTTGGTGTGACCAGGTACATATTTCTGAGGGCAAAGAAGAAATGGAACATAATCTGACACATCGTAAAAACCAGTTTGGGCTGATGCGATGTTCCTGCTGAAGGATCACTGCAAAGATTTTGACACCAGACGACTTTGTGCCACAGCAGAGCCACGAGAGTGATTCAAAAGCTATTCCCTCTATGCATGAACAAAAGTGGGCACTATTTACCCAAGTCTTGGCTCTGTGTTTTGTCCACTGATGCTACTCACCCAGTCCACGTTCACTTGTTGGCAGAGGCTGTCCAGAGTCTCCAGTTCCTCCTTGTTCACGACATCTTTGTTGCCAACTGTCTTCCATCCGTTCACTTTCCAGCGATGTATCCAATCCCCCATGGCTATTGGCAAACAAAGAGGCCTTCACACTCACTGTGGCAGGCTCAGGCACATAAAGTTTCTGTTACCCTGAGGAACTTTATTATCATAATACTGGTCTTACAGCAAAACTGATTTTTAAAGCAAAATCTCTTTGGCATTCCACTTATTAGTTGTGCCCTTTTCAGGACATGGTTACCAGCTATCTACATGTATAGCATTTATTCCTCTAGCTGGTAGTCTTACCAGCAGAGGTCATGACCTTTATTCTACGCCTTAGCCTTGATGGATGAAAAAGACATGAAGGGCGATTTCACTCACCATTAATTGTGTATTTGCTATCTGTGTACAATGTAAGCTCCTTGATATTTCTCGCCTTGGCAGTTTGAAGGGCACGTATTGCGGCCTGTTTGAAACAGAATATAGTAACATATCACTTGATCAAATCATAGGATTCCCAGATGGAAAAAAGTAATAGAAAGACTGGATTGCTCAGTTGGACTGATATCTTGTTTATGCCGATATCAGGCATCGCAGACTTTTCACTGGACAACATTACTCACTGGATGGTCCCCCTCCCCTACAGAGCCTAACGAGAATCATGAAGGGATATGATCACCGTGATTTCAGCTCTCTGATTCGTCTGTCTGCCCTGCAGTCTCTCGCTGGTGTTGTATGGGTTATTGTCCCCCCAGTACACGCCCACGCCGGCGCGCGCACCCCGTCGCCCGTTGCTTTCACAGGCTCCGTCCGTGTACACAACTGCTCGACCTGTTGACAAATATGTGATCGCTGATAAAGCATGACATTATCGTTTTTGTAATCTGAATTGGAGACATTTCCTGGAGTGACTGGAAGGGCGTTGGTGTCGCTTGGGGGAAGGGTGGTTGTGGGGGTGTCATATCCACCCTATTGGACAGCTTTGTGGGCAAAATCATGGTGCTGGGGGCAAGGACAGTGAAGGGAGAGTTCATGCTAGTGTCAGGTTGGGGAACCTGACTAGCATTACACTCATGACAGTAACTCACCCCCCCCCCATATAAAATAGTCTAGTGACACCCACATGGGAGAGGAAGCTATTTATCATTCAAATGGTACCGTTTCCGGCCACCTTCTCCTCGGATGAGGTCGATGACGGCACTGATAATGGTAGCGTGCCATAAGATGAGGCAGAGCAAGTGCTGTCATGTCTCGTCTTCTTGTAAGAGCTGTCGTAAGTTTCCTCAGGTGTGGGCTCGTGCTTTCTCTTGCTGGAGTGGCCCATTGGGTGGGTATATTCCGGCTTGAAAACTGGCAACGGCTCTGGTGATAAGAAATAGTCTGAAATGTGAAAGAAAAACAAGAATTAGGTTTCAATTAAAATTACAAATGAATAAGGGATTTTAACCCTCCATATACAACACTAAACATCGACCTTTAGACAACTGTAAGATATGGAGCAGTAATTTGTTTTTAGTACATTTGAAGAGGCAGCTGTAGTTATAAAGTTTATGCACCTCTTCAACTGAAGTCTTTGACGTGCTATTCCTTCGATATCTTAATGATTCTCCCTGACATACAGAGCTGAGCACCTGTTTGGTTTAACTGGGGCATTACAGGACATTTTCAAAATAAAAATACACAATGCATCCTTCCAAATCTTTCAAAAATGCACCAGGTTTGGGAGTGCTTTACTGGACTGTTTCCATTCACAGGCCTTGAGGCTCTGTGAGGGTTACAGGACAAGGGACACGTCATAGGTTTCCGGCAGAGTGGAAAAGGTTTGTGAGGATACAGGAAGATGCTATGCAAAAATGCCAGAGGAGTAAAATCCCAGACTTACATGCAGTGTCAAGTGATCAACTCATAATGTGTATCAGACCACTTCAAAATGGATGACTTGAACACTGGATTTAAGTGTTTTTATGCAATAACATTCATCCTGCCTTTAATAAAAAAAAGTCTGACAATAGACTTCTGGTGTTTTACCAGAGCTCAGTGATGCTGGCACATAGCTCAGCGATGAGACTGCGCTTTGGTATGGAAATGTTGTACATGAAGTCTCCTTTTTGGACTGCCTCGCTGACTGACAGTATTTCCGGAAATGAGGATTGGGATCTTGTTTAGCATTCACAAACTCCCAGGCCTCCTCTGGTGTCTTGAACTTCTTGTGGCGGGCACCTTGGCAGCCATAAACCTGGGCCTTACAGTCGTCCCTGGTGACCAGAAAGAGGAGAATTGAAATTAAACAGTGTGCTGGTGGAAGTGCATGGATGATCTAAGGTCAGCACGATTTCCCGATGAGATGACGCTTGGATCATAAGAACTATCTTTACAGCACTTTAATGCTTGCTTGTCCTATCATTGCTCTCCGAAGTTCATTCTGTATTTGGCCAAGTAACAAAATAAAGTAGTTTCTTGCTCCTGCCTGCTTTCTTTTTTTCTTGCTTGTCTCCTTTTTTCAGTTTTATTATGTAAAATAATTTTATTATTATTTAGAAAAATCGTATCTTATTTCAGTGATTTCCCTAATGACATTTTGTAGTGTGACCATGGAGCAAGTTACTAAACAGGAGTGACTGAAGTCAACAATGACTGTGCCTGTTGATCGGGTGAGAATGTTGTCTGGAAAATACATTTCTGTGAAAAATGAACAAACAATAAAATAATCAAGTGAGTGTGCAAATCGGGGCAGGCGATGATGTGAATCTAAAAAGAATTTTAGGCCTAAATGGCCTCAACACTTGACAAGTTTTAAATGCATGAAAACTAAGCCAAAGGCTAAACCAATGAATTCTACTTTTCTTTATATTCTTTCAGAACAGGAGAGCTATACGAACGGCGCTTAACACCCTGTGCACAAACCTTATGAGACTGGTCTGAAAAATTCCAAGTGTATTCTAAGTAAACGACTTGGTATATCCTTCCAAAATTGAACTTTTCCAGACATGTTTTTGCTTTGTGATGGTTAGTAGGCCACTGTACTGTATATGGAACTCTTCCCTCAGACAGTTTTTCCCAAGCCGTGCAAGCCGAACATGGTGAATTCTGAACAGACTTGTCATGGAATTTGTTGGTGGTGAATTCATGGCGCCTACCCCCCACAACTCTGGGGTTCATTGTCTGCGGCACTCCCATGTGGACAACAAATTGGACAGACCAGCTCTGTGGGTATGATATTGTTACGCCCCAAATATATCATCAGTCCCAACTACAGTCCCAACCGTACATGTAGTGCTGCAGGCGGGCTGGCTCAACTATTGTTGACCAGTTTTTAGAGGAAATTCCTCAACTTTCTCCAAGTGAATGCATCTCACGCTTGACACAATCATGACAATTCATCTAAAATTTGGCACTTTTTCATCTATGACATGACATTGAAAATAATACGACTTTGGCAAATGCCGAGCACATGCACACTGGACCTCTGTGCTGTAGTTGGGCCGGCCAAACTATAGCACTTATACTGTCCTAACTATAGTTAGGACTGATGCAATAGTTAAGTTGGGATGTAACAATCATGACCGGGGGGCGGAACAGCTCTTCTTGCCTCATCATGTCATCATCTGATCACCATGCCACTAAATCCATGAAATCAGCACTAAATGAATGATGGCAAGACGATTAGCTGACTAGCATACTGACAGGCTTAGGCACCCCATCCATGATCGTCAATAATAGGGCCTAGTACTAGTACTAACATGACTAATACGTAAACCGTAAACACAAGCATTGAGCATTGCAAGGGCAGCTATCCTATCGCTAGCATGGCCAGCGCGCTCGTGTCGGCCGGCAGGCGCACGGCATAGCCCTACCACGAATCAAAGACTCCGACGCTTCGTCCACTCCTCACTGCGTAGTAAAACTTGGGCATGGTTTCTACGAATAAACTTATCGCCCAATACACTCGACGGATGCTCATTCACGACCTAGGGCCTAGTCCTAGTCTGTCACAACAAGCCTCAACTTGTTTCGAAGTTTGCGGTCCAATAACACATAAACACGCACGTCCACACTAAAGTGATTTACATGGTTTCGATTTATGGTTTACGGCAGTTTTAAGACAGTTCGGTTTTCTCTCGACGATTTTGTACATGCTTGATGAAGCAACCAGACTACGAAATATAGGTCAAAGGTTATTTCAACTTGAAAGTGAAAAATTTGCTCCCTAAACTTATCATAATTTCGAAAAAAATCAAAACGAGAACTAATTCTTGGTGTCTTAACGCTTAGAATTTCATTTTTGATACAAAAGTTTAGATTTGTTCAAAAGGAGAATTTAAGTGTAATCACAGAGGTAAACATCTCGCAGATTCTCGCGTATTACGTCCAACTACGAGATACTTTCGTGAACTTCGACCTTTTTCGGCCGCAGTTCTTATGTGAGTGAGAAATAACTCCTGAAGCGGAATTTTAGATGAGAATACTCAACCTGATTTACTGAAAAAAATTCAGAAATAATAGATTTAAATCAAAGAGTATAAATCCGTGTTCCCATTGATTGTAAAAGTTCAAGTTAGTAACTCATGACGCACATGATGGCAATCGATAGAAAAAAGAGCGAGTGAATGCATACCCAGTGCCCATGATTCACCTTATGTTTTCAATACGGCCGGCTGCTTGCGCAGCACAAATCATGCGAATGTTTGAATTGTTACAAGAAATAACTGCCATGTAACTGCTTTATATTTCTTTTAAAATCAGTAAAAGCCATGATTTTCGAATTAGTGTCCTTTCAAAACGTGAAAAGTTTCATCATGACTTGCATGAATGATTGATGATCGTCTTAGTATGAATGCTTGATGAACATGATCGGGCCTAATTGGAAGATGTTGACATGGGTGTGTTACATGTTTCTGTTGAAGTTTTAACATGTGAAAAGTTAAAAACGACACAGACAATTTGCTATGGTTGGGGAAAAGTAAAACCTAAAAAAACAAAACAAACATCAAGGGTTAGATAATTTTTCTTCTTGTTCTTCAAGCTAATGAATAATTTATGATATGCATGTAGCAGCGGGAAATGCTGCATGCGATGAACAGGAATAAATCGGTTTCAGTAGGGTCTGCTATGAATGTTACTCGGTTTGGCGGGGCATAATAGACTCCATAACTGCAGTGGCACCACACTCACATGCACATCTCGCAGCTTGATGCGCACGTGCATTTGGCAAATCACAACACCCTATAGAGGCATGTAATGCGCGCGTACCACCTGTCCACACGCCTTGCGCCACCACAGTAATGGCTTCTAATTCTGGTGGTCGAATTACACTTTATGTACATCAAGACCTGATGCGTGCAATTTATTACTGCTTTGTCATGTTTATATAACATCAGGAACTCGAGAACAATTTCTCAACATTTTCTTTTTATCATTGACATTGTTTGTGCTAGTGTCCCTGGTATTGTGGTGGTGTATTCCTGTGGCAAAGAACAGATTGTGGCTTTGAACTTTGTCGACGTGTAGTTTTTCCATGCACACTGGGTAACATTTATCATTTTGCCCAGTACTCAAGCAAACCCTTTCAAGATGGCATTGTGATTGCATCCAGTGTTGTTTGTTTCCCTTTCAGCAGTGGTCCAAGATGGCGGTGTTTAGCGCTGGAGCCAAGATCATGAAGCCATCAGGCGAGAAAGCTGACGAATTTGAACTCTCCATCTCACAGGTAAAAAACATACACTTTCTGGAAAGGATTCTAATTAAGTTTCCACTGGCCAGTGCTAGAATGACTTAAATGTTGCACAACTTTAGTGAAAACTGGCTATATATTTACAGATGTGCATTTCTAAAATGTGTTGCTATGGTAATTTTGTACAAACGCTTGTCATGTTTAGGCCCTTTTGGAATTGGAGATCAACTCCGAGCTCAAGAGTCAACTGAAGGAGCTCTTCATCACAGGGGCAAAGGTCAGTAGTCATAAGGTCATGCCCTGCAAGGCAGTGTTCTAGCTAGGATTTGAGAAGTGGGAGTGCAGAATGAAAACCAGGGAGTTTAATCTTGTTAGGGTCCAAAATTTGTGTGTGAACTTGAAGCATGCAACACTAGCATGCAGCGCAAAGTCCCTTACGGCCGGGATCCAGGGCCTGCGTAAGGGCCCTGGAAGTTCTGCCTATTTTAGATGCTCTCTGGTGGTCTCTGACAAATTTCAGACATTTTTTTCAGAGAGTTTTGCGTTTTCGAACAAAAAAACAAAACAGCAATAAGAAAAAAAATAGAATTGTAAAACTGTGTGCAATTGTTGTTACATACAGTGTAATCAAACTGTATGACTGAATTTTAGCTCAGATTTTATTTTCACATTTTTGGGGGATCTAGACTACACAAGCCTTGAGTTGAGTAGTGCACGGCTTGATTTGCACCGCCAGGCCGTGCTTGAAATAATGGGCCGTGATTTCATAAAACTGGCCGTGCAAAACACGGCTGCACGACTTGCTAGCTAAAATGCCGCTGCAAGGTCAGCTTCCCGACCCTATTCCTGGGCTTTGTCCATTTACTAATTCTCAGAAGCTGTGAAACCCAACAGATCTTGAGATTCGCTGATGGACCACATCAAGCAGGGCATTCCTCTGCACTTGTCATTTGACATTCATAATAATCTTGTGACAAGCAGATAAATGCTGACATGATTTCTGTCTTTCACACAAGCACCAACATGGAACAAAATTAATTTCTTGAAATTGCTTCTAAAGTGTCATATCACTTTAAGACCACTTTATTTAAATTGACAGTTTTTTAATGTTTTATTTAACTGCAGTTATTTATGTACATGCAGTGATTAATTAATTTGTTCACTTTGAATGCTTTGACTTGTATATAACCAAAAAGATTGAAGAATGTTATTTTAAAGTAATTTTGGGGAATTGGTCTTCAGGAAATCGACGTAGGTGGGAACAAGAAGGCAGCTGTCATCTTCGTGCCTGTTCCACAGCTCAGGGGCTTCCAGAGAGTCCAGAGCAGACTGGTCCGAGAACTGGAGAAGAAATTCAGCGGCAAGCATGTCGTCTTCGTTGCTCAGGTATCAACAAAGTTGGACCCATGTCCAAAGAGCTGGCTCAAAGAATGATAGGCTGCCGAGGCCAAACAAAACCAGTTCTGCTTCCTATTACTATATGTATATAGTTTGGGAAAAGAGGGTTGGGTTGAAATGGGTTTATTGGGGAGTGCTTGTTGTATACTGATCCAATTAGCAGCTGAGTACAGCAAGAGAAGTCAGGTAGAATTGGTTTTAAATGAAGTGAACGTTAAAGAGTGCTGGTTGCCTGCACGAAAGCCTGATAAACGTGTATGACCGAATTAAAACTAACCTGAGGACATCTTTTTCCAATTCCACATTTTCCCCAACTCCTACCCCCCTCAAAAAATGGATTGCTCCCGTCTAAATGGGGTAGTCAGGGAAAGAGTAAGAATAAAAAGTGTTTGGTCTTCTCATTATATCTGCTAAGAAGCAGCCAAAAGAAATGTGGGTGTGCATGGCGGCTGAACTGCTTACCTGTTTTGGCTAAGCCATTACCTTGTTAACTTATTGATTCTTGCCATTGACTGCTCTCAGATATAAGTCCTAAGTTCAGTCAAATCGAATGTGCAGAGGGTAAAACCAACGTTTTGGTCTATCTTTGATTTGATTTGTCTCTAGTTATTCTTTTAGATAATGAACAGCTTTTAGACACTACGGTGTGTACGGCAAAAAGAAGATGATTGGGTGCAGCCTAAGCTTGTACTTGGCCATGCCCCCATGACTGAGAATATGCTGTTAGATTCATATAGCTTTGCCACAAGTTGGTCGATGATTTTCTAATGAAAATGGCAGAGTGGTTATCAAGTACTCCTCATAGCTTTGTGTGGTCATGGTTAGATTAATGCCTAATTAAACTTGATATTCCTTTGGGAAAGGTTTTAAAGCTGTCAGAAAGTCGGTTATAGCTCCCCCAACAGCTCACGTTTAACACAGCATAACAGATAAAAGATCAGTTGCCTGGTTTCTGTTTGTGCAGAGACGCATCCTCCCCAAGCCCACACGCAAATCCCGAACGAAGAACACCCAGAAGCGCCCTCGCAGCCGGACTCTTACAGCCGTTCACGACACCATCTTGGAGGACCTGGTGTTCCCTGCCGAGATCGTCGGCAAGAGGATCCGGGTCAAGCTGGACGGAACCAAAATCATCAAGGTGCAACTGGACAAGAGTCAGCAGATCCAGGTGGACTACAAGGTAGGCCCCTGATTGGTTTCTTGAAAACATTACTTTGGCAACGTGGATCTTTACCCTTTCCTGTTTGTTACCAAGACGCAGTAGTAACTCCAACACCATGTCCAACCCTGTTGAGCTTTCACTTTGTTATAAGTAGGGATTCGATGCCCTAAAAAGTAAAAGGGATTAAATTGTTCCTGTATACTATGGCTGGGTTAAACAATGCGCAAGTGTTTTTTGGTGTTCCTGGACAGGTGTTGCTTTATTGCTGACTGGGGGAATGTTGTAAAACTAAACATTAGATTTTTGTTTCCTTCGTTTCGCACAGACGGACACCTTCAGCGCCGTGTACAAGAAGCTGACCGGCAAAGATGTCCTCTTTGAATTCCCCGAGTGGAATCTGTAAGACTGGGGGTGCAATGTTCAACGGGACACCAATTCGCATTGGGAGGGGGAGACAATCTACAGCAGCACACCGCCTAGAGCCAGGACCCATAGGGGGTCAAGGGGATGGCGTAAATTTTTCTTTGCATTGCTAAAATGCTGATTGGAAAGTTCTAATAAAAGTTGTTTAGTCTCGAGAGACAAATTGTATTGTTACATGTCATTTATTTTCTGTTGTCATTCCGTGCGTGTTCCAAAAGGCTGATTGTTGCTGAAACTTTGCAATCTTGCACTTACTACTCTTGGTAAACTGTTTAGCCCTTCCCTAGTTGGCTGTCTTCTCAGACATAGCTCTTTCAAATGAGACGAGATGCCACCCAGAGCGTCATCTGTCCCCATTTTTCAGCTTTGTCTCGAGAGTCGGCACACTTCAACTTAAGTGTCAAGTGTGGTAATCAAGCAGGCTTGTTAGATCGGCAACACAGTGATAAACCATACTGAACCGTCTGTATCAAAATAATGGAAAGCTGCCACTTGTTTAAAAATATTTACACCAATGGTCAAATTGACGAAGAGAGGCTACACCCTCATTGATGCAATATTCCTAAGACAGTGTGAGCATGGTGTCGGAAGAGAATGCAATCATCACTCTGGATCACTAACGTATTAGGCCAAGACTACCCAATATATCGCCCTCCCGTGGCATTTTGGAATCGTATGTCTAGTCTTCTCTAAATGTAGTCATTTGCAAGTTTCCAGAAGGTACACTGATCTCATAGCTCTTCTTTCAAAAAATAGGGATTCCACGAGCACACAGTCCTCCCAGCTCTTATGAAACGTCTGTGGGTGTGGTCCGTCCTTTTCCTGGATACCCATCCATCTCGTCTTCCAGTGACACATTAACAGTCACTTCCGGCCTCCATCAAATGTTATGACCACCTTTCCTTTCGGATGCCCTTCTGCTACATGTTTAAAGGCCTTCTTGGTCTCCTCCAATCTGTAGATCTGGTCAACGACTGGCCTTATCTGAAATTTAAATTGGAGATCGTGAAAGCCCCCCAAATGATGATCACACTGGGACTTTAACTTCGAATTATCTATGATTGAGTGAAGAATTAGACAAAAGATTGGATTGACGATCGCTTCAGTTGATCACCGTTAAAGGAATAATTGTTCAACTTCGTTTCCTACCTTTTTGGCCTCCACGTACTTGGTTACGCTGTCAAGAATTTTCCCCTCAGGTAGACAGAAAGACCAACTGAAGTTTAAGCCGCTCTGCCAAGCCTGTCAAGGGGAAGGGTTCGATTTTAAATGACAGATACTAGTTAGAACAATGTCATCTCGAATCTTGGGCCCAGCCGCTCGTTTCGGTAGTCTACTTTGGCAGTCACATTATTTAGCCAAATCCGTCTGGATGGCTTAGATCCTTATCCAACTCTCCCGACAGTGCGGACAACTTCCCTACAGCCTCCCCGACTGCTTGAATAAATTTACTAATTCTGGGTCAATCGGGTTTTCCTCATGTCTTTCCAATTTTTTTGTGCTAGATTGTGGTGAAAAGTAGTGCATGGGCTATGCTGGCTGAACTAGCACAGTGGAGGTCGACAAAAGTTTCCGAGATAAGTTGCTCCATGCATGCTAAAGAAATACCAACCACACCCAATGGCCCACCAATATCCTTTCCCATCCCTATTATGCTGCACTCGTACAACCAAAATTCCCAAATGACGCCCTTCTAGCTGGATGATGCACGTACCAGTTTCATCTTTGAGACGTTCGACACGAAGGATCCGATCATCATTCCGTATTTCTCTGCATCGTCCATCACAGGCGTGACGAAGCTCACTAAGTAGCTGCCCCGGGTGCAGAGTTTGAAGCAGGCTTGTCTAACCGACGAACCGACTGTGTCGATAATGACATCAAACCTGGGTAGACAGAGTTGGATTCTGTGTCATCCTTATCTAGTAATCATTACTATGCTTATCGTTTCCTGATTTTTATCACCGTTTTCGGTAAATAGTCTACATGAATCTGCTTTTGCTTTTCATGGTTGAGCTTTACACATCAACTCACTTAGGCTTATCGATCAGAGCACTCTCCAAGTCGACTTCGGAGACATTCACCACCTCGTCTACCCTGAGATTTTTCAGCATTCTTGCCCCGTAACTGTCTCGACAGGTAGCTGTCACGTGACCTCCCCATGCCTTGATGAGTTGAGTGGCAAAGGTCCCTATGCCACCTGTTCCCCCGGTGATAAGAACTCTGTTGAGGGTTAACAAGCTCTGATTACTGTGAATCCAAGACATCGATGATATTAAGTAACAGAATGTGCCCGACCGGTTAAAACTCTGAAAGTAAAAGATCAGAAGTCGTATTTGGAATTTCAGCGCAGACGGAAAAGCTTAATTTGGAAAAGACATGTGCAGACGGCCGCCAAGTCTCGAGGATTTACCTCTGTTGTTTCGTTCTCTTGGAGCCGACGACCGCGGTACGCACCAGCGAGCACCACACGGTGCAAGCCACGAAGGGCAAGGTGGCAGCATCCTGATGGCTGATACCCTGGGGCTTCTTAGCAATGTCAGCCTCCGTGACCAAGACATACTCACCCATGGCCCCTCCTCTATGATAGAAAGGGATTGCCGCCCACACCTATACAAGGGGTTATAAACATCAGAGAGGTTTTGTTGCTCCTTGGAACAAAAATACACTGCAGCGGTAGGATGGGATATTCAAAATATACGGCATTGTATATCGTTGACTTCGTTGACAAATCCCAATTCTTTTCTGAATTTTTCATATTTTTATCCAGGTGAACTGAATCGTTCTTCAACACAATTCATGACAGGCCAATGGACGCACCTCATCACCAACCTTCACCTTCGTAACCTTCGACCCTACCCTCTCGACGACGCCGGAAAAATCCCGTCCAAGAATGACGGGGAATTCCTTACCTCCACCGGCAGGCATCTGGTGAAGAAAATGAGATCCGCGGATACCATTGATTACATAGTAAAATGAGATTATAGTGTGTCTTTGAAGCAAATGTTTCCTAAATTTTAGTTGGAAAAGTAAATACAGTATATCGTTGATGAAATTAAACACCAACATAGACATTTACAGGAAAATAAATCACACAAATTGTGTTACGGAAAAGTTAACACAAACTTACACCCCGCATGGATCTCATGCTATTACACAGAGCCTGTCCTTTCCCATTACTTATTTGGATATCCACTGGGTTCACTGAAGCCGCACGAACTCTAACCAATACCTCATCGACGTAATTCAGCTCTGGACGAGGCACCACGTCACTCACTGTGACGCTATCCTCACCGTAACGTTCAATGATGACGCCTCTCATAGTCATTGCGTGAGGTTTGAGGTTTGGTGAGGTGTGGGGCGCTGACGTGGGAGTAACATTTTCTCGCGCTCGGATACGTTTGCGGCTGTCTAGGAAATCTCTGATGAAGGTGACGGTGGATAGGATGGAGAACAGTATGCAGAGGCTTTTGTTGTTAACTGGCAGGGTATGAAAAGAACAACTTCAATAGTAAAAAAAAAACCTTTTGGAATGTTGTTTGAAGCTTGCGTTTTTGTTCAGCAGCTCAGCGTAAACGGCCGACGACAGATAAAAAAACAGGCGAGCAAATATTAATTAAGTAATTTTGTTTCACGTAAAGAAACTATTTTTCAAATGCTTCGAATGTGTGATTACAGATTTAAATATTATTTCGCTAATTTTATGAAATGATATGCGTTGAGCCAATTTCTTTTTCGTCGTGACGTCTGACTTCGTTTGAATCACTGATAAACTACCCTGAGATTGACTATAGTACCTGGAAGCTCGCTCAGCTGGAAAACTGTTTCAGTCGGCAGATAAATGTAAGACATGATTGCGCATCCCAGAAAGATAAGTGGTATTATCCACATGTTGGCAGGCTGGATTGTAATAGCTCCTGTCTTGACAACCGTCTGAGTCCCTCGAGTCTCCTCTGTACTCAATTGCACCTGGCCGGGAAAAAAGATATACGTTTCCATGGAAATGTGATCATAAACATATATACATCATGTATAAGCTTTGAATTCTTAAATCAAGAAATATTCTCAAATCAAATTTTTTGTGCATATTTGCTGTGATCTTGTCACCTAGGCCTACGCCTACTCTAAGAACAGAGCAAGGCACACCCGGCTGCCATTGCTCTGAGCATGCTCTGAATGGGTGGATAGCCACTGCTACGAGACCAAGAAAATCGACGTGCATGTGCAGCAGACCGCCATGTACATGTACGCTACCATGGGTATGTAATGTATGTCTATAGTACATGTACTTCGAATTCGACTGATCGACATCTTCAAGCATCATGTCACAAGCCTCCGAGAAACGATCGAGTCACCCGGCAGGATCATCCGATTCCGCTGCAATAGGGAAAAAACACTCACCTACTGATGTCTTCTACTTTCAAGCTCGGAACGAGAGACAGCCTGCTATGGAGGAAGGACAGCCTAAAAATAAACGTAATTTGGAATATTTGGAATTTGTTCAGCGATCCGGCATGCAGTAATATCCACTGAGATCACGGACAGACTGTTTGTAATGCAACACCGTGGTTAACCTTTGTACCTTCGGCCCGGAGGGCAGTTACCACGTGTTGATTAGATAGAGAACCGTGGAAGCGTTTAAATTAAGTAAAGAGACGCACTGCTCCATGCATTATGTTCTGCAGAAATAACTTTGATCATCACACGAGATGAAAGCTTCCTAAACTATAAAAGCGCAGTCCCCTTCATTAACAATGCATACCCAACTTAATATGTTGTTCCCGTTTTCGCTGCATCATGGCTCAAGGCTAAATTAAAATAATCTAAATTTAAAAAAAATATCTTTGGAGAACTCCCATCCTCGATGGGCTGGCCGGCGGCTCAGCTCAGTCGATGGCATGGAGGGAAGCCAAGCTTTGGAGGTAGTGTTTCGCGATAAATACTAAGTAAACCTCTTGAGTGCGCTCATTTAATGTATTTGCCAGCTTGAAATGAGTCACGTGCTCTGTTCTGCGCGCAGGTGTCAGCATTTTTTGGATCGTGGACTCGACGAGCTCCTTCGAATTTTCGAAGTCCTCCCCTCATTTTGTGAATCAACGATGGTAGTAGTTGATGGAACCGAGGACACCAAAAAGATTAAAGGGCTGTGTCTTTTCCACTTTGGCCCGTCAATCGCCTCGCAAAAGGTAAATTGTTGGTTTACATTATGGTCAACATGGCATGGTCCATGCGCGCGTATGGATGGAGGACCGGTCGACCCCTGGGGTACCGTCTGCCGCCCTCCTGGACGCGGACTACTCCCAGTCAATTCAATCATACACAGTTCTGGGCGTAGTCAGGAAGTGCGGCCGCGAACCCCACAGTTCTTGGGGATTGCATACTTGGGGACCCCATTTTGTAGTCATTTTAATCTTGCAAAACTGTTAAATCCCCACAAAAAACAAAGGAAACACTCTCCTTAATTACCGCACTGACCCCATTTTTTGGAATTTCAAACTGTAAATTGTGAGAAAATGTGACTTTCTTACTGATCAAATTTGCAAATTCGAATCCACATATGTGTCATATGTTACAGGTATACGTGTCAAAACACTCACAGTTTCCCCTCATAATTTCCCTCAAAACTCAAAACCCTCCCCTTCTTTTGACAACATAAACTCTGTAGTCATTGAGCATGATATGTCACAGTCGTCTAAGGTGAATTCAAAAGTTAAAATTTCTAGCTCTCCCGGCCTTCTGTTATAGGAACTGGGTCCCCAAATTTACAGTCCTTCAGTTCTGGCATGTTTGGGGGTATATGTGGAGTACATCATCACCATGATCAGATGATGAAAGGGAGGCTAACATTTTTCAAGTATTTTGTTCTGTTTTGTTTTTGAAGTGATTTTGGAGAGATATTGTCTTAAGAAACATTTTGGTACAAGTTTGTGATTCCGCGAGACCCTGCCGACCGAAAACCCTCAAACTTCTCTGAAACAGGGAGGATGGTTTGAGCTGTTTTTTTTATATGTGTGCAGAGGAAGCTGCAGTTATTTTAGATTAAATAAGGGGCGGAGGGAATTTCGACTGAGCTCAAAAATAACGTTTTTGTGACATGTTTGTTTGTATTTCTTGAAATACTTAAGCCCGTGCTCAGTTTTCAAGCTAAACTGGAAAAGTGTGTATGCATCTCTCACTAAACCCTTGCACTGCATGTGCCTTGTTGACGATTGGAACCAAGCCAAATTACTTTGGACTTTTCTCATTTGGGTCCAGGTACGAGCCTGCCTGGAAGCCAAAAAGCTCAAATGGCGTAGCAGGATTGTATCGTTGAGGGAAATGGAGTCCGACTGGTACTCTGCCATCCATCCCCAAGGCACGGTCCCTGCACTGGTACATGACGGCGTCACTCACATTGAATCAGCTGACATCATGGCCTATCTCGATGAAGCTTTCCCTGAAATACCTCTCTGGCCTACTTCAGAGTAAGGCATCAGATATAAGTGAACCTACAACTAATTATCTATTTTTACTCTCTGACAAGAATGGTTTTGTCTTTCTCCAGCTGATTATCAGCTGTGTATCTGTCCAGCACCTTTGCAGTATGCTCAGTTTTTAAAATATTGATAGGTCTATTTTTCTGTTCAGAGAGTTGGTAGGAAATCATTTCTAAATACCTAGGAATATTACCCATTCTAGACAACCTAGATTCATGTTGTAGCCAACCTAGAATCATTAATTTAATACTGTAAAATCTGAAAAAAGAGTGTGTCTATATTAATTTGAAGTTTATATGCACCCATATGACAAAGCAAGGGTTTTCGCATATCACGTCACAAATGAGACAATTTACAGAGGACACCAGTGAACAGTCTTGTATCTTTGGCAGGAAAGACAAAGAAGCTGTCCAATGCTGGCTGGACCTGGAGCAAACCNGTCCAGAGACCCATGAAGTTTCTGACCTATAGGTTCCCCTGTGGTCCCTTCGCTGGGCACATGGAGATAGATCAGAGGCTTGCTGGCCTTGCCGGCCATAGAGAGAGGAATCCCGAAGGCTACACTTTTCACAGAATGGTGCAGGAAGGGGTATTGAATGATTGCAATGTGAAAGCAGCTATTGAGACAATTCATGAGTGAGTCAAAATTCAAGAAGGGAATGTGGTATTAAGCTAGAGTTGTGGGACAGTTGTGGGTGTGACATTTATATGTTTCAATGTTTAAACAAAACAAGTTCGTTTCAAATCCGTTTGCAGATTTTCCCAAACATTTAAACAGAACCGCCCCTTTTAAAGGTTTGACATTTTAATTGTCGTAATCTGGCATTCAGTGTTATTACAAACTATGCCTCTAAAGTGTAATCTGAAGTTCGGAACATTTTTCCCTTTTGGCATCCATGTACTTTTTGAGAAAAATGGGGATTCTAAAACAATAAACATTGCTTGTTTTAAATGCCACAAACATCAATCTACATTTTTACATTGGTTGGACCATGCACACTGTTGAACTTTATAATTGTGCATACATACATATGAAAACACCGAGGTAAGCAGCAGCGGTTTTTGTGTAAAGTTTTGGCCAAACTTTTAAACAGTATGGGAAAGTTTTCTGAACATTTTTTCCAATTAAACATAAATTCCCACCCTTGCATTTAAAAGTGGGGATTTTCTGGAACATGTGCAGGGCAAAGAGCTGTGTGGCTTACATGATCAACTTGGTCGAAATCAAGTTGCATTGGACGACGTTTTGAACTTCCATGCATGGCTGCATTTTCCTAATTTGAACTTTTTCCTTTGGGTTTTCTGAAGTGCCCTGCAAAAGCTGGAAGCTCGCCTTGCAGACCACGACTGGCTAGTTGGTGACCAGATCTCATTGGCCGATTACTGCTGGGGGCCCAATGTCTATTGCTGCATGGAAGAGTACATGTTAGGGTTCCCAATGGGCCGGTACCCGGCCGTACGTGCTTGGTACAAGAGGCTGTTCCAAGATGAGGCTTTTCAGAGGGGAGTGATTTCGTACAGCAGTGTTCCTCTCAAACCTGTTTTGGCCATCAAGAACTGTAAGTTAACCAACAGTGCCTATCCCATTTACAATAGATAATCTCTTAAAGTTTGTACGTTTGAGGCCTTACCATGTCACACTGGTATGTCACGCACATGCACACAACATCCCACCCTATGTAACATAATCATCTTTCACCCCACTCCACACAACACCACCCCACCCCGCTCCACCTCTCTCCACCCTGCTTCAACCCAAGCCAAGCCAAGCTAGCCCAAGCCAAGCCCAAGCCCAACCCAACTCAACCCATCCCACCTCAACCCAACTTAAGCCAGCCCAACCCAACCCAAACCAACCTAACCCAACACAAGCCAAGCCAACCCAGCCCAACCCAACCCAATCCAACCCAAGCCAATCCAACCCTACCCAACTCACCCACCTAGACCCAAGCCAACTCAACCCAAACCAACCCAACTCAGCCTAGGCCCACTTTACCCCATTAAACCCTGTTCCACTACATCCCACCCAACCTCACCCCACTAGCTGCTACTAATGTCTTCCCTGGCCACCTATACTTCCAGCTGTAATCATGGCATCCTGACATGGTCTGATTGTCCACTCTCTCAGACATCCAGGAGTTCCTAGGCAACAGCGTCAGCTGTTTTGAGAGGGAAGTCAAGCCCAATTGGGCTCCGTCTGTTGCACTGTCTGTCATACTCCTCGTGAGTTCCAGTCTCCTGTCGTATGCGTCCATAACAGCTGCCACAGGAGGTAAGTTTCAAGTTTGGAGGTGTCTTTTTATCAACACTAAACCTTACAACCTGTTTGTTTGCAAGGTAAATTTTTTTGTAGAGACTGCTCTGGAAAGCTTCATGTTTTCAAACTTAGCAACCAGTGTTTGGCAACATCATTTACAGTGTCATCTGCCGCGTTGAACACTGGTCTGGTAGCACTCTGGTTGGGCGCTCTATACTCATGCTACAAGAAGGCCCGTACAGCCACCAAATCGGTCTACTTTTCTGGGATCCACAGCATGAGGGCGCTCTTGACCAAGTCATATGGGAGTGAGGTGCCGATGGTGTGCGAGACACACCCCAGGCCTAAGGTGGTTTTACCAGATGATGTGCTAGTGAGAGTCCATGCCGCCTCCATCAATCCAATTGACTTCAAGATGGAGGAAGGATATGGAAAGACAGCATTAAACTTTCTCCGCAGAAAGCTGAAGGTATTTGGATTTTCATTATGCTAATATATTAAATTTTTTATTGCGCTTTGAGTATAGAGAAACCTTTCAGTAGATAACTTTTCACCATATATTGCTAAGACTTGGTGAATCTATGAATGATTAATAGATTTGGAAAATGTGAGTATTCCCAGCATCAAACTTTTCAAATGTTGATGTTTTTAAGCATCCACTTTCCCTCAAACACTCATCACATTTTGGAATTTGGATGTAGTTCTTCCTCATTAAAATTCAGCTTTTTACTGAAAGCAGCTTCAGTTCAGTGATGTTTATAGTTTTTTATTTATTTGCCTGCAGATGGCTGCTGGTGATGGCAGAGAGTTTCCTCTGATTCTTGGCAAAGATTTCTCCGGTGTTGTGGAGGCAGTGGGGGAGTCCGTGTCAAAGGTCAAAGTAGGTGACGAGGTAAATACCATTTCATGTGACTTAAACTCCCCGAAAGGGTACAGGCAGTGGAACCACCAAGTCTTATCAACAGTGCAAAGGCTCAACCAGTTTGTTTCAATCTCAATTGAATTCTGGGCCAGAAGGCATGCTGGCAAAATTTGGAAACCAACCTCCAAGTATGCAGGAACTGCTTCACAAAAGGACTGCCAGCTCAGTGATCATATCTCATTGGTTCCTAGTTCTGTAACCATACAGTTGTTTTTATTTACGTCCATATGCAAGTGTAACATAAGGACCATATTGAACTCTCTCTTAGGACACCATATTTGTAGGAAAATTACAGGTGCATGGTCAATGCCATTGGCAACATGTGGATGCATCATGCAAATGGTCAATACACATGTGCATGTTGATCTAAACATCTTCGAAATATGGCGTAACTGATGCATGTCAGAAAAAATTTGATGTAAAAAATGCTGGTGCATGTGGCAATCTGTGGGAAATAACGTCATTTGAGACAGACAGATTGGATGATTTTACTGTTTCCTTTATTTTAAATTTAGGTTTGGGGTGCCTTGTCATTTGTCCCACTACCTGGCACATTTGCGGAGTATGTCCTAGTCAAGGAAGGACTTGTAACCCAGAAGCCTAGCTCTCTTACTCATGTCCAGCAAGCTGCCTTAAGCTATGTTGCCATGACAACCTGGGGAGCACTGGTGAGAGCTGCTGGTCTGTCCTCAGAAAATACTGCCGGTAAACGGTAAGCTGTCTGAGGAAAGATTACTTAGGGTGTTAGAATATTTTGATTCTGGAGTTGCGTTGCCATGGATTATCTATCCACTGTTATTTTCAAACATTCTCTTCTGTTACAGTGTTCTTGTTCTCGCTGGCACTGGGGGTGTCGGTTCCTTCGCCATCCAATTAGTGAAGGCCTGGGGAGGTCATGTGACCACCAGCTGCAGCACCAGTGGTCGAGAGTTGGTGGAGAAGCTGGGAGCGGATGAGGTGGTGGACTATACGAAGATAGATCTGGAGAGTGCCCTCAAGGACAAGCCAAGGCAAGTGGTTGGACGCAGTTGATCATGTGACATACAAATGATTAAGAAATTGATGGTTTAGCCCTCCGGGGGAGGGGGCTATTCCATTTTTCTAAATTCTCTGATTCCTATGATGTTGCAGGTTTGATGTGGTCCTAGATAGCCTCGGTCCGGCCTCCTACCAGACCTGTCTGAATCTCTGCAAGCGAGGAGGCTGTGTGGTCACTGTGGACTCGCCCGCCCTGCTGGCTCTGGACAAGCACGGCCTTCTGCTGGGCATCCCTAAGGCCATATATGACCTGTGCCGGATCAGCATCCCACAGGTCAGTGGTCACATCTTCTCTTGTTTTACAAGACATGATGGTACACTGGACAATTACCAATGTTCGCATTTTACATCCAACATACTATAATAATTTCTTCTGGCAAGCAATGTCATTGTAGGCAAAATTTAAAACATTGTAGGAATGGTTGCGTTTGACCCATGCAGTGTTACAGAATAAGTAGTTTTTGTGATTCTCCCTTTTTTTTCTTGTGAACAGAAGTTGTTTCACGGAAGAAGTTTCAAGTATGGCTTTGTGGCTCCGAGTTCTGATGCTTTGGATGTTGTTGCTGGTCTGGTGGAACAAGACAAGGTTTGTAGGCAGGAGGTTGAGTGGATATTTTTTGGGGGAGAGGAGAACGAGAGGGAGAATGGTTCGAGCAGTAGTAGTTAGTCTTTGAAACTGAAATTTTCCTGAACGATAAGTTCCAAAGAGATGTTTTCACTTGTCAATTGCATTAATACAAAGCACAAGTCTAGTGTTTCCCTTTAATATGTGACACTTTGTCATTTTGATGAATTGGAATGCCTAGTGGGTGGAAAAAATGGACAGATTCTACTTCCAAAATGGACCTGTGGCAACTTGCTGCATTTTAACCTTTGAACATAACCGTGTTTTTTTTCAAAACAATTTTTAGATCAAGCCGGTTGTGGAGAAGGTCTACAATATGGAAGATGGCAACGAGGCCCTGGAACATGTACGAAAAGGACACGCCAGGGGTAAGACTGTACTGGTTATGAAACCTGATGAATAGTGAAACTGCTTTGCATGTGCAAATGTTTGTAAATTCGGAGGGCCATAGGCCCTGGAACAGGTGTAAAGAGAATACACCAGGAAGACAACTCTGCTGCTTATGAAATGGAAATAGGATGTTTAGATCTAGAACGTTTGCTACACAGAGTTTAAGATGTAATACTTTAAAATGGACATCAAGCATGAAAAAGGACATGTTATTGAATTATAACAAAAAGGGCGTTCTCACGTCTTGTGACTGTCCTGGATTCTTGTAGTCGGCCACATTTTCATTGTCATTGTATTTTGCCCTAGGTGATTATAAAAATGATTCGAAATCATGTAATCATGTAATTGAATCTCACAGTCCTTAATGATCAATGTTAGAAATAAATTGTACTTAAGGATCAGCGTTGATTTTAAATTGCTTGAAAGAATGCATCTTAATTTATGCCTAATTGCAATGAAATTCAAACTTTAATTTTTGAAGTAGATACAGTTTTTGCCAATTCTTTCCACAGACAGAAACAAATGAGGCTTGGAAATTCTGTTTTGGGTGTATTCTGTTTGTCAGCACAGATACAAATTTTCATTACTTCAAGAAAGTTGGGAACCATGGTATTGTTAGGCGACATTTCCCATTAATTTGGAAATAAAAGCAAAAAAATTCAGGTTAATTTAACATGCTGGATGTATCCCCCTTATGTACAATGTTTCTTTTTACAACTAAAGAGTGTAATGCAGCTCAAATGAATTAGAAAAAAAATCAGTTCTTCTTTGGCACAAGTTATTGAGTTTTGCCCTTTTTCAATGCACGTACATGTACAATGTTCAGATATTTGTAAAAAGTTAACGTGGCTTACAATTGTGATTTCAACTTCAATCCACCTTTTAATCAGTATGGAATTTTTTGGCAAGAGTTCCATACCCGGGTATCACTTTATACTTTCCCTTGTAGGGGTTTATAAGCCTCTGAAAAGTCAAATTTGGCATGGAAAATATTTATCAGTGGATTCACATAGTAGGCTGAGGCCTGCTTAGAATTACATCAGCTGTGCGAAATGTGCTGATATAATTGTAATCGTCGACTTACTTTCTTTCTTCGGTCAAATGCTCACAAAAAATGCAATATCTTCCAAATTCATTTCAGCGAAATTTAAATATTATCTAACTTGGCCAGAGTCTCATGTGTAGTGACTAGCATGTTTGGCCAGTGGTCACATGTGGTCATTTTCTTCAAAATTACAAATTCCTCCTTCTTCCCCAATCCTGGTCCAATTATTATCAAACTTGGTCAATCATATATCTGGACCTAGTGTCATAAATTATGTTCATACTAATTTGGACACTGCTTACCTGCACGTAATGGTCAGCAGTGGTCATTTTCTTCGAAATTGCAAATTGCTTCCCCCTCACAGTCTTGGTCCAACTTCTGTCAATGGCAGCGACGAAAAAAATTGAACTGAATTTATCACTACTTTTTTATTTTTATTTCTAGTGGTACACCCTTATGCACAAAAATCTCTGCTCTTATATTCTTGAGCACATTTAAGCTGCACTTGCCAGTAGTCGCCTTCTGTGCACCTGCAACATTTCCAAAAGCTGTCCACGGTTGATATACCAGTTTTTTCATTGTGCTTTCTAGGGCTTGTGCACAAAGGTGTCGACGGTGATATGATGTCCATGTAGCATGCCCAAGCCAAACGGTAGCAATGTGGCTTCCCACTGCGCACGCGCTACGTCCTTGACTTTTGGAAATAGAACTGACTCGTGCATTATACGTTCCTGACACTTCAAATTGAGTTTAATAGCTAGCACCATGGTTCCAGCTACCTTGTTAGTCTGCAGTTATAGGCCTTTCTTAATATTTATGCAAACTTTAGTCGCGGCGACTGAAAACGAGGCTGTAGGGGACTCTGCGCTGTCGGCGAACTACATGACGAAGCATTAACAGTGCCGTGTTGTAGCAAAAACAACGAAGATCACCGCCAGAAATTAACATTCATTTCCAAAAAACAGGATCCTGCCGAAAAAGTGGATTGTTAAGATCAAACGAGACGGGGGGCCGCTATTCAGGGTAGATTTTGTCTTTGAAACGTCTTCTTTGGGCACTTAATTTTGAGATGTTCGTATGAAATTTCGTAATCACTGGCTCTACACAGTACACATTATTGCACATAGTTGCATTTCGATTGATCGAGTTTTTTTCTTCTTCCGTGATTGATTGCCCCCGAACTTAGAAAGGAAACAGCCCAGTCATCAAAGATAACCCGCTGAACGACAAACAAGTCTTCAAAAGTTCAAACTGCTCGATCGTGGCGACAATCGGCTGTTTACATTAGGTCCACAAACGGTGCATGCATGCAGCGTCAACACAAGGTCCAAGATAAAATCCTGTTAGTAAACTGCTTTCCCTTCACCTTATGAATGTGGGCTTCTGAAAAATACTTGAAGCCTACACCAATTCGTTGCTCTCCACTGTTTTGGAGCCTAGGCTCCACAAACCGAAGGTAGGCTCGGGAACCACGAAAAGATCCCTTACGTTCAGAGCCACATTGACACGCGAGTTCCCGACCGCCTTGTTTTCAGGTACCGTGAATATTTATTAAGAAAGACCTGTACTGTAGCTGCAGTGCAACTGAACAGGTAGGCCTAAGAATTTCACTTTTATAATTCGCCCTTACTGAATGCGTTAACTTAAAGCAAAAGTGGGTATACTTTGACCTCATGTTAGACGGTACGAAGTAGTGCTGTACGGCATTATGGGTAAAGCACCGCCCCCCTTTTACCTCAATTGACCAATTAGAAGTCAGTATTTTGCGTTATTCGCATCATGTACATCCAGCAAGAATGAGTCCGAGGGGTAACCCCCCCAACATGGCCAATCGCTGTACGTGCTTTAGACTATTGTTATCAAACGCATACCCCCCCCCATGTCTGAAAAGAATTCTTCAGATTCCAATGAAACAATGACCAACACAAAGCAGGGGGGTTCCCTCTGTCTCGTATCTCGCTTCATAGGTACAGAATATGTCATGTGGATGGACTGTGGAGGGAATTATATAGCTACTTTCTCCTTCAGGTCTATGGTTGTATTGTGTTGGGATTAAGCGGGAGATAATGACTATTTTTAGGGTTCAAACAAACATAGGACTTCATGAACTGTGGAAGGATCACTCCAGATTGCAGTGCTCATTTGCTCAAAGATCTCTTTGCTTTTAGAAAAACGAGTGAAAAATGTAAAAAGTACGTCGACAGGGATATGGGTGGAGATCAAGCCCAGGAAAAGGCAATAGGAAGACCCTATGGGCAGTCCAGCATTTTTTTTCCAGCAAGTACATTTCTACGAGGATTTTCTTATTAAGTGACCTGCATCCGTCTTCTAATATTCTTTTCAATCAACAGTTCGGTTTTTGCTCACATCATTTCCACAGACATGGCTCTTATTCGTCTCACACACCTCATCTCCAATTTCATGTCCACAAACTCTCTATTGTAGGTATTTTCATCGATCTCTCTGAGGCATTTGACAGGATTGATCACATGTCCAACATACTCCTTTCTAAACTTGACCACTATGGAATCAGAGGACATGCCCAAATTGGTTTGAGAGCTACTTGACAGACAAGAAAACAATTAACCGTTGTCTTCTGGCAGAAGTAACATCACGCACGGAGTGCCCCAATTACTTGGCCGGTGTGCCCCAAGGGTCTATACTAGGCCCCTTCTTTTTTCTGCTGTACATTAATGTTCTGAGTAACTCCTCTCCCAACATTTCTTTTCTGTTGTTCGGAGTTGATACGACTATTATCTGTTCGAATCCGAATTTCCAGTGTGTGATTCTTATTCTCGACAGTGAACTTATTAAAGTTTCTCAGTTCAGAGTCAACAAACTGTCTTTACCAGGAAGACTGTTTATTCTTTAGTAGAGTTGCAAGCTCTTTAGATGCTCTGCGATCTATTTAAATTGACGGCACTGCAGTATCGAGTGCCCGCAGTACTATTTTCTTTTACTCAATTCTTGGGCGTTGTGCTTATTGCAATTTGATTGCCTTACTTGGAGTGACCACATTTCTTCAATTACCAAATGCTTGGCACCTTCTTTCACGAACTTCCCTTTTCACCCGTTACAATAAATACACTTCATCCGTATCTAAGTTACCGCAACATAGGCACAACCCAGTACTAACCAACTTCCCTCATAACTCAGTGAAATACAGAAGCGGGCCAACAGGATTTGCACTTTTTCACAACCACAAAATAATTCTGCACTTCTTTTTGCGAAATTCTACATGTTAACTCCCAAAGATATCAACAAACTCCAAACCGGGATCTTCATGTTCAAGTATAGTAAAAAAAAAAAAATTCTTCCTCACGTATTTTCAACCTATTTCAACTCTGTGCGCGACATGCATGAATACAACGCTCGTTTTAATCTTAATGTCCCATACGCTCGCACATCTTTTTCAATGGAAACTCTTCGTTTTCATGGTCCTCGTCTTTGGAACAGCTTAGACGCCACCTTAAAAACAAAGCCTGTGAGCAACTTCAGATGTGACTGTAAGCAACATATTATCTCCCTTTGCGTATGATAGTTTCCTGTCGTGAAGTTGTTCTTTTGTTGTACTGGGTGTTTCAAAAAAGGCAATGCAATTAACTTGAAGGGGTTAATATAGCTATGTGGCATCTCGTACAGCATTTCGAGGGCCACAACAGTCAAATTGAAGATAATAGCTTTCGAATGACAGCTTTTTGCCTAATCGTGTTATTGCATAAGTGAATACCAATGGATTGAAATCACGGCACCAAAACGGCACTGGGTTCACTTATCGAGCCTCGTTGCATTTCACTTGACCAACTGCCACATCTTGATTGTGAATAATGTCTTGCCTGGTTATGCAATGGTTTAAATCAAACGGCCTGGCATGTGTACACCACGCCTACGTAACATGCAGGATTTACGAAACCGGCTTCGGAGGGAGGTGGACCTAGATGGATTTCACATTAGCGCCCTCTGAGCATATCCGCATCGAAACCGAGGCTCTCTGTGTTGAACTTCCTCGCGCGCCCGCGGAGTCGACACAGTACATGCAGTATCCGGTTCGTAAGTGTGATACCACTTCAGTTTAAACCACGCCCACTGCACAAGATGCACAGCCATCGCAGGTACGTTAGTTCGCGGTAAATTGCTTTTGTTTTTCTTTTGATTTCACGTGTCGAGTCATTCTGAAAGACTCTTCAACAAAAATTTGCAGCCTGAAAAGTCTGAATTTAACATACCTTTATGTATTTTGTGTCTTAACTCCTTACTTTCAATCGTCTGATCGTATTAAGAGTTGAAGCCGACACATACAGCCTCGTTTTCAAACGCGGAAGTGCGCAGATCGACGCTAAAAGCGTCGTATTGGGATCCCTCTATTCGAGAGCAAAGCCGGATCCGTGGCCGGATACTGTCGGAGAAGCAGTTGGAGACATGCGCCGTCGATATGGACTTTGTTTGGTGGTGGCCACGTGGAAGGTGTTAGCCAGTAAGAGGATTTAGAAATCGGCTGGCAGATGATGGGAATGTTGAAACCTGTTGATAAATGTGTGCTAAATGAATAACAAATTTTTCACTAACTGAGAATTTGTGTTGATTTGTTTCACATGGAAGTGAACCAACCACATTTTTGCACCCTAAAT